CCCTGCCCGCCGGCCACCGCCGCCGCCGGCGCCGCGGCCGCGGCGCCGGCGTCTTGCACGAGCCCCTGCTGGCGCGCGGCGATGCCCTGCTCGCTGCTCGCGGGTGCGGCGCGGGCGGTGCTGTAGACCGCCGTCGGATCCACAGGCGGCTGCGGCGGCGCCGCGCCCTCCACGATCCAGCCGTTGGCGGCTGCGGGCATCCCGGAGGGCGCCGCGGCCGGCGCTGGCTTGGCGGCGGCGGCGGCGGCCTTGGGAACGGGCACGGTACCATCGAGCTGCTCCCAGACGTTCTTCGGCGGGGGGGCCGCGGGCGCCGCGGGCGCCGCAGCCGCGGCGGGCCCGGCGGCGGCACCGGAGGCGCCGAGGGCGAGGCCTGGGAGGGAGGGGGAGAAGATCTGCTGCGGGGGCGCCGCAGCCGCGGCGGGCGCCGATGCGCCTGGGGCGTCGGGGGCCGCGGCGGCCGTGGGCGCGGCAGAGGCGGCGCCGGCGGCGGGGGCTGCTGCAGCGGTGGCTGGGGCGGCGGCTGCTGGGGTGACGGCGGGCTTTGCAGGCGCTGCTGCTGTGGCGGGGGCGGGCTGCGCGAGGGTGGCCGCGGCCGGGCCCACGGCGGCGGTCAGCATTGCGGCTGTCGCTGTGGCTGGATCGGCCGTCACAACAGGCGCAGCAAGTGGCGGCCTGGCGGCAGGCACGACAGTCACCTGCTGCAGCTGGCGGGCATGGCAGCCTGTTGCAAGGGCGATTGCGGGTTGGGCAGCCGGCATGTGTGTGTCAGGGGCAGGGGCAGCAAAGCATGCATGTCATGTGCCCGGGCACGGCAAGTGGTCCGCACCGCGACGTCAGCGTGCATGTCACGGGTGGCCAGGGAATCAATCGTCAAGGATGCAATGCTCTTGACTGCGAAGCACGAATGCCCGTTGAACGCTCATTCAACTCACCCGAAAGCAGCACCATCATGGCACACAGGAGAACTGCCGAGTCCATCCCAGATAAACCACACGAAACTTTTAGAACCAGAGGCTGACAAACAACCAGAGAAGTGTCGCAACTTGCACGGGGTAACAGGAGGTGCAGCCGTTGGCAGGGGTGCACCGCGGAGCCCCGGCTTTCACGGCCAACGAGCAGAGGGGCTTGAATACCGTATTTTGACGCATATCAGTATGCAAGCACCTGAAACCATAACATTGTCAAGCCCTCACGGGTGTAACCCGTCTAAATTCGAACTGGTCGCTAGGCCGGTGTGACCGCGTGCTCAAGCAGTGTTGTTCATAACCCTACGCCTGACAGGAGCATGGGATTTTGATCATGGTACTTGCCCATTTTGATTATGGTATGCCCAGTCTGGCAGCTTCAAGGCCCCAGCTGAGCCATCACCATCAACTGACGCCGGTTGCTGCTGCAGTGGCCCTGGCTTGCTGCCTGTGTCGAGCTCGTGAGGGGATTGCCCCTGCCATGCAGTAGCATTCAGACAAGGACTAGTTCTATCAGCTTGCAAGACGCGGCAGGTGTGTCCAGACTGTCGCCTTGCAGGGGCCGTTGTCCCGCCCCACACAAGGTGTTGCCAAACCCACACAGAAGCCGCCAGCATGAGGATTACAGCTGCAGCCCCCAGGCAACTGCCAGCACCATCACGTTCCGTGCACGTTTGACTCAGCTTACAACGGGCACGTGTGCGCTGCTGCTCGGCTCGGGCCTTGCAGGGGCACCCAATGGCCCCCGGCCGCACCGCGCGCAACCCAACCGCCCAACTGCCAAACCCCCACGGCTGCCGCGCCGCAGCCCTCGCCCATCACTTCTTCTTGTGGGCCTTCTTCTTGTGCGCCTTTTTGACATGCTTGGGCATCTTGCTCTTGCGACGCTCCCTGTTGGCCTCTTTTGTCTCCTTCTTATGTAGCTTCCGCGCCTCGCGCTCCGCCTCCCTATCCCGCGGCGCCTTGTCAGCCCGCCCGTCGCCCTCGCCCTCGCCGCCGCTGTCGCTGTCGCTGCCGCTGCCGCTCTCGGTGTCGCTCTCGCTGCCGCTGCCGTCCGAGCCGCTGCTAGGGCCGCTGGCGGGGCCGGCGGCGGCGCCGCCGCCGTCACCCGCGGACGGCCGCTGCCGCCGCCGGGCCCCTCGCTGCTGCGCCTCCTGCCCGGCCTCCGCCACGCTGGCCGCGCCCGCGCCCGCGCTTGCGCTTGGACCCGCGACCGCGCCGTCGGCGCTCCCTGCCTCTACCGGCGCAAAAGCGACCGCCTTGGGTGGCCCCGCCTTTACTGCCGACGTGTGTGTGGCAGCCACAGCCAGCGTCGGCCCCTGGTCCTCCGCCTTTGGCAGGAACGCCATGAAACTCGGCCCCTTCCCCGCCTTGGGCTTCACCTTCCCCGCCGCGCCCCCCTCCGCCACGCCCGCCGCCGCCGCGCCGCCCCGCTTCGGCGCGCCCGTCGGCGCCGGAGCTCCCTCCTCCTGCTCCTGCTGCTGCTGTTGCTGCTGCTGCTGCTGCTGCTGCTGCTGCTTCTCGCGCCGCTGCTGCAGGGCCATGGGTTCGCTGCGCGGGCCAGATAGGTCGGCCGCCATGCCCGTGATGGATTGATAGTACAGGCCCTCCACCTGGGTCGGCAGGGGGGCGCGCGTGCATTGGTTGTTGGGACGTGCATGGGGTAATCTGGGGGGCAGATGGCAGCGACGCGGTACGCGAGGTCGCACACATGCTGTGGATAGGATGAGAGTGGTCTGTGATTGAAGGGGAGGGGCGGCGGGTAGAGGGGACGAGCGAAACGAGGCGCTGCCTGCCTCGTCTGCAGGGACCAGAGCGGTACCGCGCCCCGATCTGCTGCGCGTGCGAGCCTCCCGTGCTTCTCCAACACCTCTCGCCGCCTGCCGTGTTACGACATCCGACCAGTGATACAAACGCCTTGCCGCACGCGCACACACGCGCATTCGCGCGTCGCACACACACACACACATACACACACACACACACACACACACACACACGCACGCGCGCGCACACACACACACACACACACACACACACACACACACACAATTTTGCCCCAGACAGCCCCGTCTCCGCACCGCCCCTTCTTCCCCGCCGCCAGCGCCTCCCTGTCCCTCTCGTAGTGCGCCACCTCCTCCAGCTTGCGCGGGATGAAGGCAGCCT